AGAGAGAATGGGAAGCCAATGTTGATTGCTTGCTCACAACCAGGCCGTCTGGTGAGATGATGACTATGCCAAGTCCTGCACCATGCCGGTTGGATACTCCGTCCACAAAGAGCTTCCACATTTCTCCAATGAATAATTTCAGCAAGTTAGAGGGATCAGATGATGCTGTGGGGTCAAGAATGTTGCAGGTGTTTTCTTCAAAGTCCATGCTTGCTGTCTGCCCCTTGCTATCTGATTGAACAAGTCTTTATTTGTTGCGGAGTCTTAGCTTAGTGTAGTATGGTTTGCTTCTGTCTTGCTCTCTTTACTTTGGTTTTGCCTTGGAGTTTGATCGAGTATTCTGCACCAGGGGTTGCGCTATTCCGGCGTCAACTTCCATCCCTAGTTCGGTTGTATAGTCAGGTCGACTGGGCAAATATGATGACTTCCAGGAGTAAATTCTGCGACAAAGTCTGCCAAAGCTTGGGCCTTTATCGCGGTTCTAGGTTGGAACTTGATGTCGAATTGTCGCAACTCTACTGCCCATTTCAAGATTCGCCCAGAAAAGTTCGCCCTCTTAAACAAAGCTTTTAATGGGAAGCTGTGAGGATGACCATGGTGTGGGCGTGAAAGTAGTGTGATAACTTTCTTGAGGCATCATTAAGGTCAAGGCAAGTTTTTTCCAATGGCAAGTACCTTGTTTCGGCCCCAGCAATGTCTTGCTGACATAATAGACGGGCAGATGTTGGATTCCTTCCGCACGGACCAACACTGCACTAATTGCGTGCTGAGAGACTACTAGGTACATGAAGAGTTCTTCTCCAGGTATTGGGGTCGCCAGTAGTGGTGGAGAAGACATTTATTCTTCAAGCTTTCCAGAGCGCGGTCGCATTCTTCGTCCCATCGAACTTAGCTTTTAACGCTTGAAAAAATGGTCGTAGTCTGTCTGACGACCGGCTAATGAACGGTTGAGTGCAGCTGCCATACTGGTGAGATGCTGTACTTCTTTTACTGAGTTAGGTCTCTCCAGATCCTGAATAGCTTTGATCTGGGAGGGGTCTGCTTCTATATCCCGGTTGGTCATCAGGAAGCCAGGAATTTGCCAAATCCTACATCGAACGCGCACTTAGATGCATTAAGGCGCAACTTGTGCTATTTTTTTTTAATTTTATACCTTTTTTTTTTGAAAAAATTATTTATAAGTCCTATTAGGGAGACTTATGCTACATATGATCCTACTAAAAAACTTATATTCCCATAAGTCCTATGGGAAGTTTGTTGACACATTTACCCTCAATATTAATTGTTAATATCATAAATAATACTAAAATCATATATAGGAAATTGAATATTATCATAAATCATTTCTACATAAACGTAACGTGACGTGACACTTACATAAACGTAACGTAACGTGTCACGTTACGTTTCGCAAACTTAATGAGTTTTTATTTTTTTAAATTGAATGTGAAAATGTTGTTGGTTTATGTTGGTGTCACGTTACGTTTCATATAAATATGATCTATGGTAAAAAATTGAATGTTGCCATAAATCATAGGTGTTACGTTAGGTTTATGTAGGTGTCACGTTACGTTACGTTTATGTAGGATCTTGTGGAATACATTCCTATCTAAATAGGACTTGAGACTCTATAAGAAATTATACAGGACTTAACCTATCATAAGTGTCTAAAATATTGTTTATAAATAAGTCTCCCTTTTTTTTTATAAATATTGTTTTATAATTTATTCAATTTTGTGTTTGCTCTCTATCTGCCCATTAAAAAAAATAACTTATAATATGCTTGAGTCTAAAAAAAAAAGAAGGTTCAATTTGTACTATATGACTTAATGATTATCATGCTAACAAGGAATCTCTCAAAGATAAGATCATATTAAACTCAATTTTATTGAATAAATTCAAAATACATACAATTACCTGTCAATCAAGTATATCAAGTAATGAACAAGTAAAAAATGGATTAGAAACCTACTTTGCCGAATCATATGGTTAGCCCTTACTCCTCATCAAGTTGGTTCATTAATTAAATTGAAGTGAAATGCATGTATATTGAGAAATATTTTTCTTCATTTGGAAAGTCCAATGGTGTAAAGTTATCATAATTTTAAGAAGGATATTGCAAAAATTCAAGAAATCTAGAGGAAGAGTGATCAGACTACCTACCCAAAAAAAAAAAAAAAAGTGATCAGACCACCTTTAGCTGGGTAGTCTGGTTAATGAAAAATTATGTTCTGGTCTAGGTTAACGAAAAATTATGTATTGATTTTGAAACAAATTCACGTGATGTCTCAATATGATATTTATTGATTAAAATTGTAAAATCTAATACTTTTTGTTAAGATTTTAGAAGATAATTTGATAAATGTCATATGATAAATGGTATGAAGCAATATTTTAAAACAACCCAATAATCACTTCCTGAGTAACATGGGTGAAATTGGACCCTGTTGAACCAGTCCCAGTCTCCTCTTGGGAGGAGTTTTTTTATTTTTGTTTTTGTTTTTTTAAGTGCCAAAATCAGGGTTTCAATTCAAAGGCCCAAAACAAATTAAAAAAGGGTCCAAGATGATTTAAAAGCATTGGTTTAGCCCAATGTCCAATTGTTGCCATGATTTTGGACATTTCGCAACCACATCCTAGGTTAGTCTTGAAAGCAGAATACTTGAAACTTTCTATTTCTAAAGCAATTTACAAGGAATTTTATATCATTGAAAAGTGCTATGAAAGCACAAAATAATTATGTTTATGAAATTCGCAAAAATTTGGACATAAAATGATGCAAAGAAATTTAGGGGACAATTAATATGTTTTGAAGGCCTACAAAGGATTTTTGAATTCAAATATTTTACACAGGTGTAGGGTTTACCTGAGGCTCATATTGTGTGGGTCTAACACTCATGTGAGACATTTAATAAAAATTTTGACAAATTTTTAGAGTCTTTAGTATTACTCTTTTGGATTTAGCAATGGTTGAACCCTAGTCCAAGATTTAGCCCAAAATAATAATAATAATAATAATAATAATCCGAGATTTAGCATACATTCACATTTTGTTTTTGTTTTTGTTTTTATTTTTATTTATGTGTGCCAATTGTTATTTTTCCTTCTCACCACCATTGCTGACCACTTCCTACCTCCAATAACCATAGCAAATATATATATATATATATATTCAAACAAATAAAAATATATAATATATATATATATATATATTCAAACAAATAAAAATATATGTATTAAGCACTAAGGGTTTATTTATTTATTTTTATTGGAGTATCAAATATTCATCTGATGATTAAATTCGAGTAAAAAATAATATATATGTATACAATAAATAAAATAAAAACCAAACTTTGTATCATGAAGCTTTTTTTATCCCAAAATGCCAAGTATTTTTTTAATTTTTTTTATGTTACTTTTACTTTTAACTAATTTAGTTTTAATATATATATATATATAATTTTTTAATAAATAATGAAAGTCCAGGCATAAATTGTAGTCCTCACACAAAAGAATGTTCCCAAGCAGAGTCGATAAGGAACCTAAATACTACATAAATTGGAACTAAAATAATTTTCTGACTTTGCTCTCTGAAATGCTCTACAATGGAGGTAGTGCTATTTGGATCCTCTGATTATGCGTCTCTCTCTCCTCCTTTTCTCCTCTCCAACGCACACAGAAACCCCAATTTCTCTCCCAAGGTAATTCACAAGAAAACAGCACCACTCAAAATTCTGAAATTCGTTTTCTATATCTTTTTTCCTTTGTTTTCTCCGTAACCAAACAATTAACATGTGAATTTGGGTTTATGCATTTACTTGATATCAATAGGAGGTGAAAATTATGAATTCGATTTCTGTCTGTTTTCTTGGTAACCAAACAGAGCGTTATGCGAATTGGGTTTATGCTTTTACTTGCATTGGCGAGACAGCTTACCTGTAATTTGCTAGTTTTTAGAAGTGTTATCTTTTCTTACTGTAAATAATTGTATTAGTAGAATGACGAAACCCCATTTGAAAAACAAGGCTTTTTTGCTCTCAGGAGGAGGTTCATGACCCCCAAAAGTGGGCAATTCTTCCTCTTTTTTTTCTCTATGTTTTAATTGTATTACATAATCTGATGTCTTTTCAAAGTTCACATGGAGATGGATGTTTATTGGTGTAATTCACAAAACATTCGTAAGCTTTTAAAGTGAATTTTTGTTCTTTCAATGAGGCAAGCCTATTGAACTACATTTATTGCAGAGTAAACAGACAAAGTGATCTGAACGTCCCTCACATTCTTGGAAAGATTTGTGATCACCTGATCATTCCTATTATATGAAATGCAGTGGTGACATAAACCACATGCATTTCATTGCGTCTATATGTATTACTGATTTAGATAGGCAGTTAAATTTTGTCATTGTCTATAAGGAGAAATATTTTATCAACTTGCATCTCCTGAAATAGTAAGATACTGATTTTTGGTTTTATGTGCATATGAAAACGTTCAACTGTATTCTTTGCTGGTTCAGCTGCAGAGGTCTCTTCCCATTAGGATCATAGAAACTCGATTATGGAGTTCCTTATCGTATATAAGCAAAGGTGTCAATGGCAGGCCAAGAAGTTGCAAGCCAGTATTCTATTCTTTGCAAGATTATAGACACAGGTTCTTTTGTCAACCAGTACGAAAGATTACATTGCAATGTGGTTTGTTCTCAGTATGGAATGGATGCCTTCTCAAGTTCAGGAAGCACACAATCCGTCTTCTGCATGTAGTAAAATGTTCAGAAAATTTAAAAAAGCATGTATCCTTTCTTTTTGTCCACATCATTGTTGGTATGGTTCTTGTTATGACGGTTTCTGTTGCTGTTAGCAAAACTCCTTCCTGTAAGTTGGATCGTTTTGTAAATTAAAATTTGGTTTGAAGCTTAAGAGAATGGCGATTTTATTTTTTTCCGGTGGTTGAAATTTTATTTTATATCCTATCATAATACTTCAATGCTAACATGTTGTAGTGGCCCTGACTGAAGAGAATCGTCTTTTCTTAGAGGCATGGAGAACAATTGACCGTGCATATGTTGACAAAAATTTCAATGGACAAAGTTGGTTTAGGTACAGAGAAAATGCATTGCGCAATGAACCAATGAACACCCGAGAAGAGACATGTACGCTTTCGGAGCTTCTTAGTCATGTATTTTCCAGTGGGGTTTGCATGCATCCTAGAATTAGTGATAAAACTTTGTATACTATAAAAAGTAAGACCACGGTGACAATAATTCAATCACGGTTATATTGTGCAGGTTGGTGTGTATGTGTCTAATTCTTCCTATTATATGCAATTTATATACAACAATGATAATTCAGGTTATGGTTGTGATAGTGGGTTTCACTGAACACCAAAAAGATTGTTCTTTGTTGAGGTGAAAATTTTGATCAATAATAATCAGGCTGTTCTATGTCAATCATGTAGTTTTTAAACTGTTATAGGCCTTCATTGGGACTAGTTATAACTTCTATTTTTGTAAGTTAAATGCAGAATGTCTTTTAAGTTCAGTTTATCTCTGTAAACAGATAAGGCAATCAGGAAAATGCTTGCCACCTTGGATGATCCTTTCACTAGGTTTTTGGAGCCTGAAAAGTTTAAAAGTCTGCGGGTACAAGGCAGTTTCTTCTTACCACTTTAATTCACCGTACTTTGACTTGAGAAAGACTTTTAGTAACTATTTAGGGTCAGCAAATTAGCACCTTTTCATATTGCCTCCAAAATCTTTGAATATATCTTTTGAAGGCAGTTAGGGACACAAGGCAGTCTTACAGGTGTAGGGCTGTCAATTGGCTACCCTACCGGAGGTGATGGATCAACTGCAGGACTGGTGGTAATTTCAACTGCTCCAGGAGGTCCTGCAAATAAAGCTGGTATTTTGTCCGGGGATGTTATCCTGAAAATTGATGACACAAGTACAGAAACCATGGGCATATACGATGCAGCAGACCGTTTGCAGTGAGTTTTGACTTATTTTTTGGCCAAAAATTAACATTCATTCAATGAGATCCAGTGCTCATGGAAGAATGATTACTTGTCTTGCAGCTTATATAGAAGATTTTTTCATAGAGCAGTAACTTCCCATCTGTATCAGTTTCAGAAATCTGAGAGAATGATTTATTTATTTATCCTTTCTGAAATAAAAAAAATTATATCGTCAAGATGATTTGGAAGTATCATTCTTGCCTACAACTAATTATTGTTGTTTGATGAACTTTAATGCTGAGAAGTTCAGCTAGCTGAAAATGCATATTACATTTCATATTGTTTAACTGAAATACTCCAAAAAACTTTACTTCTGATTGTCTTAGTTAGGTTCTTGCCTGTCTGATCATCTACTATCTTCTTGTTTCCTTTCAAATGTTTGTTAGTTATTTATGTAATTGTTGATATTCTAAACATTCAATTGAAATGCAGGGGACCTGAAGGCAGTGCAGTGGAACTAACTATTCAGAGTGGACCCAAGATAAAGCACCTATCTTTGGCGTATGTTTAACATCTTGTTTTTTTCTGCTCCAATGAGCTATGAGCTTTTTTTCTATGTAGTTTTTTGTTTTAATTTTGTAAGGGGATTTTTTTTTTTTTCATTTACTGTTGTGGACCAGTAGTTTATGACTTATGGTGCTTAGTTATACTTGAGATATATAGATGAATGAGTATGCATGTTTGTATTTAAGCATGAATTTGCAGATATTATTATCAGTAATGTTAGAAACACAGAGACCAAATGGGATACAACACTCGCACTATTGTTGGGGCCCATATGTGTGGGATCCACATGTGGGACCCACCCCTCGTGAGAGGGTTGTGTCTCATTCTGTTTGGTTTTTGTGCACATAAACTTATTGTGCAGATATTCTAATCCTACAAATGTAAAAATTTACCAACTGCTGCTTTTCAGGCGAGAGAGAGTTTCATTGAATCCGGTGCAGTCGAGGCTCTGTGAGATAACTGGTTCGGGGAGGGAGGACTCCAAAGTTGGATATATCAAACTAACTTCATTCAACCAAAACGCTTCTGGTATGGTATAGTTATAGTTACTTTCTCTAAGTAATGTGGAATTATGCACTTGTAGTTCCAGTCAAAGTCACTCGGATAACATGATGTGTCCATTAATTTCCCAAAAGCTTGTTTTGACTTCGTAGCATATAACTTATCAATGAGTTTTCTCGTTTGGATACGCTACTGTTTTGCTAGTCTCTATCAAATCATAGGCTAAGATGTCTTCTCTCAATACCTTATCCCGTGTGACATGATTTTGCTTACTCTATAAGGTTCAAAACGATTTTAACCTTGAGAAAGAGAGACAGAGTTGTTAAAGTAATAATGTGTTGATGTCTTGTAGGCCTAAGATCTAAGATCTTAATAACTTTTTTCATTTTGGACATAAATGATGTTGGAAAAACAATGTTTATGCTTTTGTCCATGCTGTATATTCTTTAGTTTTAGACATTGCATTTCTTGATGTACTGAAAATATACATCACTTATAGGTGCTGTCAGGGAAGCAATTGAAACTTTAAGGAGAAACAATGTTAACGCTTTTGTCTTGGATCTTCGGGATAATAGGTGACAATGACAATGCTCTCAACATGCTTTGTTTTAAATTTTCCCTCCGAGCAAACTTTCTGAAAGATTAAATTTGATGCAGTGGTGGTCTTTTCCCTGAAGGAATTGAGATTGCTAAGATTTGGTAAGCTTCATAGAAGGATCAATATTGCACGTATACTTTGTTTGGCTAACCTTTTCTGCTGCTTTATCTTTTTTCGAGTCAATTGGAATCATTTAGCCTGTCTCAATCAGGAATAATTTTCATAGTACTTCCTGTAGTTCTCATGTTTAGCTATTGCCGACCAGGTTAGAGAAAGGTGTCATTGTGTATATTTGTGATAGTCAAGGTGTTCGAGATATATATGACACTGATGGAAGCAATGCTATAGCAGCTAGAGAACCCTTAGCCGTGCTGGTATGCAAACTTATATTCTGTGATGGTTATGATTTATGACAATGATTTTTGAAACTTTTGAAAAATATTGGCAATAATGTAGTGTGTTGACAATTATTCTGGAAAAAGAATTTACGATGAGTTTTTGTAAAGAATTTTTGATCTCTCTTCTAAGTGCTGCTTTTTAAGGTAAACAAAGGAACTGCTAGTGCAAGCGAAATTTTAGCTGGTGCATTGAAGGACAATAAAAGAGCAGTGTTGTTTGGTGAACCCACATATGGGAAAGGGTAAATGATTTTCGTTCTGCATCATGCAAAATATTATGATATATACGTATACCTACTGTCTTATATCTCTCCCTTCTTTACAGCAAGATTCAATCAGTTTTTGAGCTATCCGATGGCTCTGGTTTGGCTGTTACAGTAGCTCGCTACGAGACACCTGCTCACACTGATATTGACAAGGTCTCTCTCTCTCTCTCTCTCTCTCCCCATGCGTGCTTGAATGCTCATGTATTCCCTCTTTTTTATGAATCATAATCTTAGGTTGGTGTAGTTCCGGACCATCCTCTGCCAGTATCTTTTCCCAAGGATGATCAGGGTTTTTGTAGCTGCCTCCAAGACCCTGTATCTGCTTGCTATCTCAATAAAGTGAAGCTGTTGTCGAGATGACACAACTTAAAAGACTGAACTCAAAAGGAAACACAATTAAGGCTTAAAATCTCTAAACATTAACAAAACCTTTGTATGCAAAATTAGAAGACTTCCATTCTGTTTTCAAACGAAGTGATTTCAAATTCAAATTTCCCATTCAAGGATTGTTTTCTGTATGGACAACATTTTTCCGGAATTTCTGCAGTACACTCTAAATCTGTATTGTACCACATGACAAAGAAAAATATGTTCAAGCAATGTATACTATGAATGAGGTGAAAGAGAAGGTAAAAACAAGATACATTGAAAGGTTCCTTCATTCAAGTCTGAGGTGGGCTAGGGCTACCCAGGACTGAGAGCCCATTGTCTTCTTTTTTGGTTTATTCTTCTTCTTCTCCCTCTAACTCAACATTAGCTAGACTAGTCTTGGTCTTGGACTTGGGTTTGGGGTTGTGCAAGATTAAGTGCACAACTTCTTGAATGCGCAACTACTTAAGTGCTAACTTGCCCAATGGGAAGTGCTAGAGCTAGTGCCATGACAAAAGCTTTTGGATCTGTTGCTAATAGGCATGGAAAATTATTAGATACTCTCGAGATTATGTGATCATGCTCTCTCACAAATTACCATTCATTATATTTTCTCATGTTTTTCAATCATTCAACATAAAATCATAGTACTTTACTTCTCTACCAATTATATTACCATTGAATAATCAATGCCTAGGCATCGATAGGAAGATGGCTGGAAGTATGGATGGCAATGGGGCAGGTTTGTAGTTACCTGTCTTGTGATGGGGTAAATAAAAATTAATATAATATATTATGGATAATAATTTATAATTAATGACAAATAAAAAATATAAAATGAGGAGTAAATAAGTGAAAATGAATGTCAAATGTAATATTTGTGTTAATTTTATTATAATAAAATTAATAAAATTATATTATATGTATGAATATATTTAATAAATATAATTGAAACAGGATTAAGAAGAATGGAGAGGAGAAGCAATACTCGTTTGTCTCACTTTCTCATTTTTAAGAGCATCTCTATTACTTATTCAAAATTTTCATTCAATTTAAGTAGAAGTTTGATTTGATATGTTGCTCTCCAATCATTTCATCAAATCTGGTCAGTTGTGCGGCCTAGTGTAAATTTTCGTTAAATCTTTTCCAATTCAGTCGTCCACTTGATTGATCAGTCGGTCATCCACTTGATCGACCACTAATGGTCACTTATGAGATTTAATAAAAAGTTAAATGCTTCCTTGATTTTATGAAAAAGTATGATTTCTTTCATTCGATATTAATTGGTGAAACGATTGAAAAAATTTTATTAATTTTTTATCAAATTTAAATTTATTGAAAGATATAAGTCTAAATTAGAGATGACAAAAACATAAAGCCGAACAAGAAATGTCAGAAATCTTCTTTTAACTACAGTGATGTGATAGTGTGGCAAGGGAAGAGAGATGACCTAACCAATCATCATTTAATATGTCTTTCACGTTTCTTAATCACCCAACACAATGCCCCACCTATCCACATTCTCTACCAATCATAATATTATGGAATATCATGTATCTATACTCCGGAATTACTGAGGAACCTTGTATTTTTAGTGAGGAACCTTGTGAGAGTTTCATTATCTCATATTAATTTTCTTGATTTTCTTAATTTTAAATAATTAAAAAAATCTCCATTTGCTAGCTTTTATTTGATAATCCTACATTGGGAAAAAAATGAAAAAAAATGAGTTGTTTTAATTATATAAAGAAAATCTTATGCTCTCATCCTATTTAGTGAGGAGCCTTATGAGAGTTTTAATATCTCATATTAATTTTCTTGATTTTCTTAATTTTAAACAATTAAGAAAATCTTTATTGGCTAATTTTTATTTGATAATCCCATATCGAGAAAAAAAGAAAAAAAATGAGTTATTTTACTCATATGAAGTGCATCTTATACTCCCATTCCATTTAATATTGTAATGTCGTGTATGTTTCAATTCAATATAGTTTAAATTTTAAAAGTTTTAACTAATTAATTATGACCTAACCGATTAGGCTAAATTATTTTTGATTTGATTGATTTATTGGTTTAACCGCGATTTTAACAGTTTTATCAAAATATATTGATTAGATTTGTTTGATTCGAAATAAACTAAAAATTGATCTCATTAAAGATTGAGCCATGATTTGGCTAACATGTTGGAGCTAAATAATCACAAAAAGACAAAATAGACTATATAAGTCTATAAGACAAAACTCTACTTTTTATCTATAATCATTGCACTTTTTCTCTTACAACAGTAAAAAAAGCTCCAAAATAAAAACCAAACGAGATTAAAAAAGTCAGGCTAAAAAACCCAACATAAAAAAGTTGGCTAAAAAAGCCAATGTCAAACGAACCTTGAGATTCAATGTTTTGAAACCCGGACCGGACTGGACCGGCCGGCTGGACTAGGAACCGGGCCTTATTCTGGTCCGGCAAACCCCCTAAAACCGAAGTGAGAGCAAAACCGGTGTAAAAATGGAAAATTGGTTCTGCCGTTCAAAATGTAAAAATGGTCTGTTCAAATAATTGTTAACTTTTATTTAATAATCCCATATCGGAAAAAGAAAAAGAAAAAGAAAAAGAAAAAAGAGTGAATTGTTTCACTTATATAAAATAAATCTTAATAGTGTAGTATTGTGTATACTTCAATTCAAGACAATTTAAATTTTAAAATTAAAATAATATTTAAAAGTTTCAATTAATTAATTTTTGTATAAGTTGGTTGGTCATTTAACTTAATCGATTAGGCTGAACTATTTTGGGTTTGACCGATTCGTTGGTTTAATTGCGATTTCACATACTAATTTTATTAATTTAAAACAATTAAAAAAAATGCATTGGCTAACTTTCATTTAATCATATAAAAATAAAATTCTAATTAGTTTATGATTTATTTTATAATCTCACATCGGGAGAAGAAGAAAAAGCAAAGTTTGTTTCACTATCTATCTATATATTATATAAGAAAAATGTGATTTTTAGGGAAGAGCCTTCTACGAGCTTCAAACCCTTATTCTAAAATTATTGAATTTTCTTAATTTTAAACAATTAAAAAAATTCTCGTTGGCTAGCTTTCCATTTACCTTTCATTTTACAATCTCAAATCGAAAAAAGAAAGAAAAAGTAAATTGTTTCACTTACATAAAATGAATCTTATGCTCCTATTTATATAAGCAAAATGAGATTTTTAATGAGAAGTCATATGATCAATATCTCATATTCATTTTTTTGATTTTCTTAATTTTAAACAATTAAGAAAATCTTCATTGGCTACCTTCCATTTAACTTTTATTTTACAATCCTACATAGACGTTTTAATTTTAAAAATAATTTTGTATGAGATTTTAATACTCTCATAATATTTTATTTTAAAATAATTATAATTCCACATCGAGAAAAGAAATAAAAAGTGAGTTGCTTCGTTTATATAAAGTGTTACAATCCCATATTGGGAGAAAAAAAAAAAGAGTTGTTTTACTTATATAAAATGAATCTTATAAAGGAAGTTTTAAGGGAGAAGCCTTCTAGAAACTTCAAACCCTCAATCTAAAATTATTGAATTTTATAATTTTAAACAATTAAGAAAATTCTTATTGGCTAGCTTCCATTTACCTTTTATTTTAGGAAAATTTGGCTATAAACCCCCTTTACCTTCCTTTCATTGTTAGAAGGACTAAGAAAAAAATTATACTTTCTAAACTCCCTCATAATTATAAAATCTTGCATAAAGGACAAAATTTATTATTTAAATATTTTATCATACTATTATACCCTCACATATACACAATCCAAATACAAAATTTATCTTCTCTCTCGTCTCTCACTTCTAACCCTAGCTTCCTCCATGGCTTGAGCTGTGTCATTCCTAAGCTCCGACGATCTCTCTCCGCATCTTCTCAACTCTCCTCCTTCAACTCTCCTTCAACTGTTTATCTTCTATCTCGTCTCTCTCTTCTAATCCTAGCTTCCTTCATGGCCGGAGCTGTGGAGAACTTGCAAATCGCGCTGATACATATATATATATATATGTGTGTGTGTGTGTGTGTGTGTTTGTGTGCTTTGAGATTTGAATTCGAATATATAGATTTTTGAAAGCTCAAAGTTTTAAAAATCTGAAAAATCTGTAAAATCTGAAGAACCGGGGTATGAAAAATTGAGATTTCTCTAAAATTTTCAGATTATAGGCCTGATTCAAGGATTATAGGCATGATTCAATATTTTTCAAAGTAAACATCGATTGATTCAAGGATTATAGGCCTGATTCAAAACTCAAAACTCAAAGTTCCATCGATTTTTCAGAGTAAACATCAAATTTCATTTGATAGAACCAGAGTAAAATTTTACTCTGGTTCTATTGGTGAAACTTTTTAATATGACACGTGAAAATGACACGAATCTGATACAGACCAAAAATATTATGACACAATAACATGGAATAGTAAATGGAGTGAGTTAGTGTTGAATTAAATCTGACACAAATCCAAAATGATATGAAATGAACACAACTCCCTATGACTTGATCTCCACCCTTGTCCAATAAGTATGACTTTGTTTGTTAGTATATAC